CAGACTGTAATTAGACCACAGATTATTACTGCCAACTTTCGCAAGAATTCTCCTAGTGCTTATCCCACAGTTGCTTCCGCAGAGAGCTTCCATAAATTGTAACTACAGTAAATACACAAAACATATTTTGTTAATAAATTATTTCAAAAACTCACTAATGATTAATGAAGAATAAATTCAATAAATTTGCCTAAAATATATAAATATGTTAGAAAAGAATTATATTCTACTATAATTGAAGTCGAATTTCACAGTGGTTGTACTGTAAGTGAACTAAAAAACTAAAAGAGTAATGGCACTAAAACACGTTTATTGGCATTCAGCGATATCCAACTTAAATCCTGATACATGCCATGCCCATTTCGATGCCATATTGACAAAGATACATGCATTTAAACAGGTGAAAACATTTCTGGAACTGACAAAATTAGCTAAAAATGGCTTATTGAATATTAATACATACAACATGCAACAACTTAATGTCTTGAGCTGCATTATACTTTATTGTCAAACTGTCGTACTACTTGTTTTGCCCCACCCGGTAGATATATATACTCTGTACAGCGTTCTTCACTTTGGATAATGAAAATAGTATTTGTAGGAATACTTACCATTTTCTTCGTAAATTCTTGATCATCGTCAAGGCGAGACGACAATTTATTTAAATCGTCAACAGAGTCGACTGGACTTGGAATTATGTCCTCTAACATTACATCTGTATTAGCAGTATAGCTTTACTGGTGGCACCGAGTAACATCCGCAAAATAGAAAGACCTTCATCCTGTTTTTCGATCATAATGTCCAGTTTCGTGAGGACGCATCGATGAAAGTCTACAAATAATTTCACCATTAGCAAGTCTCCATAACGTGCGTTTCGTAACTGAAAGGGTACTTGGAAAAGCACTATACAATTACTAATTTAATTCAACAAAAAATATCAAAGCGTTGGTACGGTTTAATACTTTTGCATTCCATCAATTTGGAAAGCAAGAAAGGTTATGTAAGAAAGGTTTTTCTTTTTTCTAATCAATTTTCATTCAATGCCAAATTTGATAGCATGAATAGCACCTAAATATACAAGAGATCTCGAGCGAAGGTCCTTTGTTGGGAGTCGGTAGCGGGAATCGGGAAAACACACGACTGTGCTTTTATATCAATGAATACAAAAGCGTATCAGATAAGCGTAGTCAAAACAAACTACAAACAAAATGCAAATCACACTACAGAATATGCAAAATAGAAGAATATAGGAAAATATGCAGCATATGACAAAGGGTAAAGGCAACATGCTAGCCATACAAACTTAAAAAGAGTCATTGTCAACCACAATGCATCTGTTTACATTTTACCTTGAAAGTGATGGAATGTCAACAAATAACGGTTATAAACAATTCTTTGGTGCTTTGTCGTTACAATTCAGTTAAAATGAGCAAGTATAACCATAGGACTGTTGAAATATATCATGGTCTTGGTCATGAATAATGTGGTCAAATATAGTAACTTACTGTCTTGTTGATCTTGTCTGGTGGAACTTGATTTACCATTATGTGTTAACACTGGATTCTGATTGTTAAGGCTCGTTGTGCTTTTGTTCAATCCATCTAAAAATTGGTAATGGTACTAGTTAAATTGCATAACAATGAGGGCATGCAACCACAAATTACACAGTGGTTTGGTTTGAAATTTTTGAAAAAAAATAAATTTGCGCTTGCAGAAAGCTACTGTATTTACAATACACTGGTGTTAAATATAAACTGGTGTTAAACCTGTACTGCCTAAGAACTTGACAGGCAATAACACCATCCTTAGTCAATTAAAAAATGGACTTTTTATGTACTATAAAGTAGCATTACAAACGGTCTACGACGTGGATGATCCAAGAACATGGAAATTAATATGTTTGTCCTGTAACAAGTCCCGTAATCTGTCCTGTGAAGTATCGTGTTGTTATTAGCTTAATGTGTTTGTGATGTCGTATCTTATATGTACAGGGCTGCTGTAATTGGCGTAAGCTGTAGCGTGTTCCCTGCCATTGTCCATATATGTTTCTTCGGTGTTTTAATGTTTATTGGCAAAGTTAAATAAATAAATAAAAGTAAAGATCATGCATGTATACAGTATGTTAACCTGTTACACACGTAAAAACGCACAAGTTGTAACAAATCTTCAAACAAGTTGTTAAAGTTTTGATACTGCTGTGTTGGTGTAGTGTACTCAGGTGAATAAGATGCATGTGATTGTTACTCTGAGTGTGTATCCACACCGGGCAGGCTTGAAAAATATACCTGGCCACGGTCGGATTCGAACCTACGACCATTGGAATACTAGCCCAATGCTCTGCAAACTGAGCTACGCGGTCAGGTCGGTTCAACAAGTTGCGTTCGCAATGTTTGTTCCCAGTTTCGTTGTAACAAGTGTGAAACAAGCTGTTAACGTAACAACTTATAACAAGCTTGATGGTATTATCAGCCCTGTTACAAGACTGTGCTAACACGTTTGTCACAGCCATAATATAACAAGGATGTTACAAGGTTTTAGCAATCTTTTTATTTTAAGCATGTACCGGTAACAAACTTGTCAGAACAACCTTGCAACTGGTCTGATCATTTCGACAAGGTTGTTACAAGTTGTCAACAAGTTGTTCCAAACCTGTTGACAACTTGTGTCAAGCAGTGCGAATACATCTTGTTGACAGCTTGTTGGCAGATGTGAGATTTCTACGTGTGTAGTCGATACGTCTAATACGTAGTCATAACAAGCACAAATTTTTAAACTTACTTTGATGCTGTCTATAAGAATTTGAATAATTTGGAGTACTGATAGGTGTACAAGGGATACTTGGGTGAACTGGACGACTAACACTGCTCGCATTATTCAGGCTGGTAAGTACGTCTATGCAAAGATAAAGCAATTTCAAAAGTTATAGTAGTTGCAATGAGTGAACATGGAACTGCGATTTGGTTCTAATATAATCAATCAATTCAGAAGTGCTCTCACCAACCGGAGTTGGATCAAAGATAGTGTATGTTAACCTCTTCGACAATGCGTCTATGTAATCATAGCAACGACGGATTTTTCAAACTTACTTTGATGTTGTCTTTGAGAATTTGAATAATTTGGACTACTGGTAGATGTACAAGGGATACTTGAGAGTAAGGGACGACTACCACAGCTTACATCTGCGCAAAGATAAAAGCAATCTCAAAAGTTACAGTAGCTGCAATGTGTTAACATGGAACTGTGATCGTTCTTCTAATTAATCAATTTCAGAGTGTTCTCACCACTTGGTGTTGAATCAAAGACAGTGTTAACCGCCGATATAAGGGCAGCTGAGAAATCTCCATTTCTATTTAGTCCAGGGGATGATGTAACAGGAAACATGGGAGCTGCAGGAAGAAGTGGTGTGAGAGCAGGACGTGTTAAATTTTCTTCGTGTGCCACATTATCTGTTTCATTGCCTTTATGTGAGAGAATAAAGTACATGTACAGTTACAATATTTTATGTTTTAATTAAGGAACTCCTTTAGGAATACTGTCATTAGTCTATTGTATAAGTAAAAGTCTGAATTTGCTACTGGAATTCCTAGAGGATCCTACTGGACTTTTGTAATCGGAAAATATTCAAACAAACTCACAGGTTGAAACTTACCATCGTAACATTCCGACAGTTCAGCATAATGGTAACTTCCCGGTCGACTTCTCTTTCTTGGGGTGTTTGGTTTTGACCTCTTTGTTCTTACACAACCATCTGAATCAGAATCTGAATCAACATTTGATGTTTCTTCAGCTTTTTTAACCGCTTTTGAGCTGTCTTGAAATTATCTAAAAGGCATTAGAAAATGGTACAACGACTGAAATTCAAATACAGTTGTACCTCTCTAATACGGACAATACAGATATTTAGACAGGTACACATACTGTTATTTTGCAACACAATAATTGATGCTTGTAGCAATAAATATTGCACCAGATTTATAGATTAACTGCATGAATGGGCAAACAGAACATGGTTTTATACTAAAATACATTATACTAAAATACATTAATACCTGTGTATGACAGCACCCTTATTTTATACTTCTTCCATAATTCTTTGTCGGGGATCACAGCTTTTTTAGCTTTTCCTTTTGCATTTAACTGTGGCCAGTAGCTGTACATAACCTAAGATAAAAAATCGACACCTTGCATTATAAAATACTAACCATAGAGCTGGTTCTATTGTTTAACAATCTTTTGCAAAATATATGACATCCTCAACGTAACATGGTTTCTTTTATTATCACCCATACATACCGCTACATATAATTGCTGAAAATTGCAATACTTACCCCATCACATGTCTCTATCCATTTTTCACAAATTATCTCAACTGACTTTTCCTCGACAAACTCAACAACAGCAAAACCAGTGGTAGTCATCTTCAATGAAAAAGATATATATTTGCAGTTATAGACTATATGTCTGGATTGGATATTCTCAAGCAAAAGCAAATATTCCTATGCTATTGTTACAATTATTTGAGCAATGAAAAAAAGTAAATTTTACTTTTAACTTTCTATGATTTCATTTTCATTTATTCCACAAGGAAATAGTCACATTATTGTAACTATTAGGACAGGCACATACAATACATTTGGCATTTTATTCTTAGTTACTGTGTAGGATAGTCATAAAAACAATCTTGTTTGGCCCAATATCAACCTTCATTGCATTTTTGTTGAGGGATTGTGCTGACACAACTTTCATAGTTGTCCACCGTGGATTCCCTTTGTGCACACCAATGAGGCGAGAATCACATGGTCGATCAAATAGAGCTTCAGTCCTCTCATATACACGACACAAATATTTATCTTCGCCATCATTGGGATGATTAGATTTATCAAGCACCTCACAACAAGATGAATCACTCAGTATAAAACAATTGTCCGGTTTCTTTAGACTGATCACTGCTTCTCGGGACTGCGGGATGGCACCATAGCTCTTACTTAGTCGTTTGGCTATCTGCGCAATAGGGTTCTTTCCAGACCGAACCAATCTTTTTAATTTCTGCATATAATTTTCGAATGGAAATGCACTGCATGCATCCAAGCTTCCATACTCCTGGACCTCATCAGCCAAATGTATCATGCTATGCACATTATACACTTGAAACTCATTGCCATATAAAACCTTCCCTTGCTCCACAAAGTATTCCATCAGTTGCTTAGCATACGGCCTATGAAGCAAAGCTAACCTAAGGCATATCAGTATGGAACTAGCAACGCTAAGGCATAAGAAGTGATCATATAGATCAGGCCTTAGTATACCACTGAGAACTATCTGACCAGTATACACAAGAAATTGCCTATACTCAGTTGCCTTCCACCTATCGATTTCTGCCATGCCTCTTGGTTTACGTGCAAAGAAACTTGGGACAAATGGTTTCAGACCAGTTAATCTATTACTGATCTCCTCGACCTGACCAGCTGACAATTTGACTTCCCGGCTACCTCTAATCCAAGTCAAAATCAACTTTCTTGTCACTCCCAAACACAGCTGGTGCATATAGTCGATAGGAAACTTTTTAATCATATCGATTGGTAAAGTACAAAAAGGACTCACACTAAAATGATGTGCCTCATTAACCTGCTCGCGAAAGGAATAATCAGATCGCAAGTCAATGTCCCTAATTAAAGGGTAAACTTCTCTACCAACCCACATGCCTTTTTGCGCACACTTGTCGCAACCAAAGTACCCGGAGCATAATTTGGTATCTTTGACAAGTGCTCTTGCAGGGGCATCACACACAACACACTTCAAACTTACAGGAAGAACTCTATTACCATCTTGCAGACCATTCTCAAGGACATCACCCAAATCCCTGATAACATCTTCCAAAAATTCCAAATCTTTTGGTTTGGATTTCCCATAGGCTAGAACAACAGAAAAAACTACCACTGGTTTTACATTCACAATTGCACAGAGAACAGGCCATAAAGTTTTGTTACAACTCTTAAATAACGGCAACCCATCAACATTCAAAGAAATCTCAAGTGAATCAATATGGTTAACTATATTGGGAGGATGTCTCTTAAAATGTTTCAACAATTCAGCAGCTAGAGGCAGATAAACATAATCCATTCCAGACTTCACTTGAACAGAAATAGATCTTGTTGTACCCAACAGTGTACGAGCTGAACTGGGTAGATTTGGGTGACCACTCTTTTTAAGAAGCGCAAGCAAGCTATCCATTGCATTGTGTTTAATTAGAAACTCATTGGCCCAACTAGCTAGCTCGGCATGAAGAGATTCATCATTTAAATCATCTTCGCTATCAGAGCTACATTAATTTTCTGCCACACTTATATCACCCTCATCATGCAAGGAACCATTTGCAGCACCACAAAGACGTTTTCTACTTGGTTCACATTGTTCTTCATCTATTTCTGGGTCACTATTGTCTGGGTCACTATTGTCAGGAAATTCAGGGTTTAAAGGAAGTTCAATCAGCTGATCAAAGTCAACATTGGGATGTTGGTCAACAGTGGGATGATTGTCCATGTTAGGATCATGATGGTTTGTATTTTGTAGTGTTCTAGCTGCAGCAACCCATTTTCGCCTGTATTGTGCCCGACTTGGTTTCATATTAACTTTAACCACAAACTGTAATAAATAAATGTAGAGACTTAATTTATGTCAATCTTACACAGGAATGCATGTTTCAATTTAACACTCTAAGCTGCTATGAAACCTCATGTGTTCTAATTTGCCTTTCTGCTCTTTTTAATGCCAAAAAGTTCTCATCAAGGGAACAATCTCGAATAATCAGTTAATATGTAGCAATAGCGCTATAACTTAGTATAAGAAATACTTGACGCAATGGTATAATTGCATGTTTATAATGATATACAGTGCCGTAGGAAGACCTTTCTGGTTGGGGGCTGAAAGCGAGGGCTATGAAAGCCCTCATGTGCCCTACTTTGCCTTTCCACTCTTGTCAATGCCAAAAGGTTCTCATCAAGGGAACAATCTTAAGTGTTAATCAGTTAATATGTAGCTATATAGCTTACTTTAATTTACTGGGGTCAAACCTTTGAAAAGTTTAGAGCCCCCCCTTCAGTATATCAAGAACTTTCAGAGCCCCCCCTTTAATGCCAAAAAATATTTCGGAGCCCCCCTTAACATCTTTATCCCCCCCCCTCGGCATAATAAATGTACTTTCCCTTAGTAATACATTATTTGACATCCGTAGGTACAATTCCTCATCCGTAAGTACAATTTCTTACGCTGAATCCTCTGCGCTGAATCGAACGGTGGTATTTTTATTTTTATTGCGCCATTAATTAGGCAATACAAATAGAAATACAAGGACAAACGTATTGCGAGTGATTTGATGTCGTCAATGCAATTTCGCTTGATTTTCAAAGGCCATAAATCGCTAGAATACTGATGTTTAGTAACACATTTGACATCCGTAAGTACAATTTCTTACGCTGAATCGAACGGTGGTATTTTTATCCTTATTGCGCCATTAAGAGGCATTTATAGGCTACAAATACAATATCATATTTCACACTCAGTACACTACAGTCTACAGACAGTTTTCACGGACTGTTGTTCGATAAATTTTATATTGATATGACACCAATATGCTTCTCATAAAGTAGTTATAACTTAAGGTGGCTCCCTACAGTTATTCTTGCTCCTTGCAATAATTCCGTAAAACAGGCTTATTCGTGCAAAATGTGAATTCTTTTCGACTTGGTGGCAATATTGGTCATCTAAGGAATATTTCGAACTAGATTTCGACGATGTCAATGTTCCCATGGCAACATGACGACAGCATAAAGCCTTCCAATTTAACCCATAAATGTGCCGATATCTCAAAAACGATGTCGGTAACCTATCTTTTTTATTTCATATATCAATAAGGAATGATGCTCTGCAACTGTGGTGAAAGTTTAAAAAAATTCTGTAGTGTGTGATTTTTTTAAAAGCGAAAAATTTATTGCGAAATTTCCACACTACAGATTGTTTTAAAATTTGAAATTTATAAAATTTACCGCAAAATAAATTCGTGGTCAAAATTTGAAGATAGGTCACCGATGAAACTAATGAGTAAAATGCAAATAAAGTTAGAAAATAACCTCGTGTAACTCGAGAAATTCCCCTATTGAAAAGCGTCGCTGACTAGTAAAAGATTCTACGCGGGCGCAGAACGAGTTTTCATTCAGCAAAATCGAGCCGCAATGTTGTTTTTACTGTTTTGTTTTTGTCAACTTTTCGATTTATTTGAGTGCTATGGACAGCCAAGGATTATTGTGAAGGATTAAATCAATCTATGATCTGTATTAGCCTATTAACAGGTGGACGTGTTTTTTTGTTTCATGTTTGGTTTTTTACTTTTTGCTAAAAACGAACAATTAGGCTATGAAACTGAAATATTTTTCTCTTTACATATAATCACTTTAATCTTGTAGAAACACGACTAAAAACGTGAACGTTTTCTTGAGAAGTAAACAAATTTTTTTAAACGTTTGTATGCAATTTTGCAAATGTTTTACAGTTGAGTCAGTTGACAGTGTATAAAAAAATTTAAAAATATTGTTTTATAGCTATTTTTGGTCTAGTGATATTCGTATCGTATGTAGAATTGCTGTATAGACTCGCAAGTGATTTGGCACTCAAAACGAAGTATTATTCAACGCTTTTTTCCATTAAAAATTATTCAACGCTTTTTTCCATTGCTTTGTTTTGATCATGCAGTTGCGTGGGATAGTTCACGTACTTGTCCCGCGAACATCCCGCACGGAACTGTAGGGAGCCTCCTTAAACTGCACAACGTAGTTTTAATAAATAACCTTTTACCTTGAAATTGTCTTTGGCTCGTTTATATTCAGATTCAGTATAAATGATCGTGCACGGGAATTCAACGATCCAAATTTCGGATTTTCAGAGTCGTGCACCAAGGAAAACGCGTTAAATAAACTAGCATGAATGTCCAGAGTTAGACACAATGCAAAATCCATAGAAAACAGGTACTATTCGGCCAAAATTTTCACGAAATGGGGCCCGGAATTGTTTGAAACATTTTGCCCACTCCACGAAAGGCTCCGCCATTTTGAAAAGGATCAAGCAGCTCATTAATATTCTATTTTGTGACTATCGACGATTGGAGATTCACCACAAATGCATGCCGAAACCTATACTCGCCCGGGGCACAAGTGCCCCAGCGAGTAATTACTGTTACTGGACGAATATTCTCAGGGAATTTGAAGAAATGAAGCAGCTACATTGTGAACGAAAGCGTACTGAGGTTTAAATAGTTTTAAAATACCTTGAGGCTACTTTTATAATATTTATATGAATTTATAAGGAACAGTTTTAAATATCAATTTTGTCAAGAGCATTCCTCGGCGCCTTGTCGAGAAGTTTTATATGTTTTACTGAAGCAGGAAGACAAGTGACAATCAAGTATTTTTAATCTAAATTAAGCCTGTTCTAAATGTCGCATTTTGCATGCGCCGAATGCATTCAAAACAATGGATAATGAGGCATTTCAGCTGATTATCTAATGTTTTGAATGCATTCGGCACATGTAAAATGCGACGTTTAGAAATTAGAACAGGCCTTATAAACAATGACTCAATATAATGTTATTTAATTCATATAATTATAAAATTAGCCTCAAGGTATTTTAAAACTAACCTCTGTACGGTTTTTTTGTATATTTTGAGTTCATTTTGTATGAAAGTAGCAAAACGAGCTCATGTTCATGACAAACAAAGTCTGAGGCTCTCCACTCCTTCAGAGTTGTAAATCCGGTTTCGCGGCGCGGTTATAAAGCCATAATACTCCAAATTTTTTGCTCAAAATTCTTCTTTGTATGCTTCTATCTTTGTGATTGTAAAATTGGCCCGATCGGAAACGTAGACAAGGCAAAAAACGCGAAAAACTACCGTCTGTAATACAAATCTATACAAAAGTGGGGCCCCAGAATCGGGTGGCGGCCGGTGACTTCCGGCTTCACTTTTGTATAATATAGATGCGTTATCCAGTCTTATTTCAGATCAGTGCTATCAACAGTCTATTAAAAATCAATAGTCTATTAAAAAATATTGAACATATTTGTCATATTTTATGACAGTATTCCTTTCACATCTTTGCTACTAACGAATCGAAAATTGATTCTTTAGTAAATGACTCTGAAATAAGTATAGCAGGTTATAAACTAGTTAGAAGACATAGAAATAGAAATGGAGGTGGTGTTGTAATATATGTTCAAGAACACCTCTCAATTTTGATTAGAAATGTCAACAGGTCATTTCTAGTTAGTACATGGTATAGACCACCTAATTCAAGTACGGATCTGTTTGATGCATACGATATTTTTCTTCTTCATTGTGATGCTGAAAACAAAGAACTAATTCTATATATTAGGAGATATAGACCGTGATGTTGCTAAACCCCCACCAGAAGCGCATACAATTAGATTTCAATCTATAAATACATTATATAACATGGCTCGGTTAATAGAAGAACCATGATCAACCAGGGTTGCGAGAACGTCTGCTACTACTAGAAGACTAGCATGCAGAATTTGCTGAATAAGGGGCTGTTTGTATGATCCTGCTTTGCCAGGACGAGATGCCAGGCAGGATTATTTTGATGTATTACTTGTAAAATAAATTACTGTAATTACTCAGCAAAAAACTACATAGTTAACTGTAAACTAAGGGTTGTTCAAGCAGCAATAATAATCTTCTCGAACTACAACATTTGAATTCCGTTGACCTATTTCAATACTGACAATACATTAAAATCACCCCGCCTTCCAATATTTACAGTAAACAGCCCTAAGACACCTGTTCATGAGGTAGAAAAAGTGCAATTTAAATATCAAACACCTTGCACAAAGTCAAAGGTCAGCTAAATATTCTATTCTACTTTCTTGGAGTTGGGCGGTTTTATATAAATACCTTCAATGCCTATAATTTCTCGATTTTGTATATATAATTACAATACTGTCTGTGGCAAAGCTAGCCATACCCAAAGGTCATATACTATGCAAATTTTTAATTATTTGCCATGGCTAGCTAGCCACTGAATACTGTATAATATCATATACACAGTGTGTCTAAAAAAAAGTGAACCCTTTCAAATTTGACAGCTCTAATTGCATTAATGATTGGTATAATTGAATTAATGATTGGGTAAGAGCACAAGGTCTTGTACTTATGGGACAAAACTCAAAGAAATAAAAATTAGAAAACTTAAAAGAAATACAGTATTCTAGGCCGTTTGCCGTGACCTAAAAATATGCCTAGAAAACGATTTTCATTAAGCATGTCGCGGAACAGAAATATTTTCACGGTAACTAACATTTTAGAACACGCTGAATTCAAATCCGAAAAGTTGCCGCTCCGTAGACCCGCAGTTTTTTCACAAATTGCATTTGTATTTTCAGTTCTTCGACGAACAAAAATAAACACGCGCCATTTTGAAATTTTAATAACATCATTCAGCATGAGGAACCGCACTAGGTGCGAAAAAATTAAGGGTGAAGTGTCTGTCGTTGCCATAGAAGGATCGTGACTAAAACACCACACGAGTACATACGAGTAACATACGAGTAACACACAAGTACATACGAGTACATACGA